AGTAAAATGTAGGTAGATTTATCACCACTACATGTTTTTACCTGTATAAAACAATAAGTTATACACATGTCATATTTATACATCTGACACAATTCAGATCACCTTCAAAACTCAGTCACACACCCAGGGCCGTTTCAAGACATTTTGGGGGCCAAGGCAAAATGCCCCCCCCCCATAACTGGGCTCCCCAGAAGCCTCTGTGTAATTCATACCCTCTCCAGTAGTGTTAGTAATACAGTGTTTATAAAAGCCCCTCAGACATTACTGACATGTTCTAATATTATCAGATGAAAAACTAAATTATCAGACATGCTGTCTCATCTGCTTCTTTTCTAAACTTGCAAAAAGTAACAAAACTATTTGAAAGCCACTATTTGTGGATTCTCTGAAAGTTTCCATGGAGTGTGTGACAACTTATTTTTTCATTGATCCTATCGTCTAATCTCACAGCTGAAACAAGCATCCTTAATAATCTGTGCACAGGAAGCTTACCGATGCTGTAGTAAAACAAAAGGTATAATAATTTATTATTAATAAAACCTTGTTGCAGCACTAAAGCAGAAAAATGAGATTTTGCAGTAAATATGCAAAATATTTACATATGAATTGTTTTAGAGCCCTTTTATTGGCAGAATCTGATATTAATTTAGTTCTTACAAAAAATGGGTCCCAACGTGGTTTGTGTGGCGTTGCCATAGTGTGACGTCATAGGCACAGATCCCCTGTCCTCTTGTTTGGAAATGGAAATATGGTCACCCTATTAAACAAACTGTCCACTCGGGCTTTTGCGCTGCACAGAGACGCTTCGCTGCCTATGACTGAATGTCAGTTGAGAGTCAGTCTCATGCAGACTGACCAATGAAGAGAGGGCCTCAAGTTAAGACCCTCTCCTCATTGGTCAGTCCACACGAGGTGGGTCAAAGGTTACTCTGGTCGGGTTACGTGTTGTCAGGCATTCAAGTATTGAGTATATTTACTGCATATTACAGTAAAATATTCTGTATGTGACCACATTATGGTGATCCTCTGGTCGTGATGATGGAGCCCTTGAATATTGTTGCCCAGGGTACAACAAAGTGTTAATCTGGCCCTGGTTCCGCCGTCACATTCCCGCAGAAACTGGTTGATCACACCGGGGCCAGACTACTAGCATGTGGTTTTACAACCACAATGTCCTCGGAAGCAAAAACGCTTTTAAAAGGGAGGGAGGAGTCCTAACTGTTGCTGCAGGCGTGTTGTGTGAGAGTGCAGTTATATACTGGTTAATATATTTTTGGGTTCAGTTGCTTTCATGTGGCCTAATGTGAGTCTATTTGGGATCATTGGAATGATCAGCAGCATTTCTTGATGTGACTTTATGGCAGTTGCCCAGGGCATCAACACAAGGAGGATGGCATTCATTTACTTTTGTTTTATTTGGTATTTTTTCAGTCATTTTTGGAAATAGTGATCAATTTTGATTAATTCACAGCCAATGTTTAATTACATTTAAAAATTAGTTGTTTGACATCCCCAGTTATAATAAATGTCAACAGATGAGATCAAACAAAACAGATGAGAATTGCCCTTAAGCTGTTTAACTTGGACCAAGCATTTTAGGTCACAGATAGATGTAGCTTAGGGTCTCTGTCTATACACCTTATAAGACAATTTAGGTGATGGCATGTTGTTTTTCTGCTATTGAACTGTTTTCTAATAATGTTGTGTTAAATAAAGTGAAGGAAGGAGAGAAATAACATTTCCCTAGCAGTTTTTAAAAATTTCCCCATGTAATCCGATTAATCGATTAATCGTGTCGAGACCCCATCCGATTCATCGATTATCCAAATAATCGTTTGTTGCAGCCCTATTGGACTTCATCCCATTTAATAGAATAGTCTCCCAATTTGGAATAGATAAGAATAGCTTTTTAGAATACCACCAAATTAAATCTGTAGTCAAACAAAAATTTAAGCTCAATAAAATAGAATTACAAACACCACCAAGGGTATTAGACTTCTATAATCTCAAACCCCTCAAACTACTATCTAAAGTATATAAGACACTGTCCAAAATAGACGATAGACTAGCAATCCCTATTGAAAAATGGGAGGTCTATCAGTCAGCTTTGACCAGAACTTCTGGTCCCAAACTTGTTTAAAAACTTTTAAAATGATCAGACACTCCAATTTACAATTAATTCAGTACAAAATTCTACACAGAGTACACTATACAGGTCATCGGATGTTCAAGATGGGCTTTGTGTCATCTTGACACCTGTACACACTGCACAAACAACATTCCTGACAATTACATTCATGCACTGTGGTCCTGTCCACCTGTCCAGGAATTTTGGGGTAGAGTGTGTGAAGACCTGTCAAAATGTCTGAAATATCATATCCCAACCACCCCCTCTTTGTTTACTGGGAAACCTGGACGATGTCCTGATTGAAACGTCTTTGGCTCACGTGGTTCTGACTGCCATATGCATCGCTAAGAAAACTATCCTCTTGAATTGGAAACGTAGAAATACTCTTTGCATCAACCAGTATAGAAATCTTTTGTTAGATCATATTACACTTGATTTAGCCTCTGCTTCCACTTCAAATCAATCTCTCTGGGCTCCCTTGATCGGTTCCATCACATAGCGATGACGGGGGACCGTTGATATTGTCCTGCGGGATGATGTGGGTGAGGGGGTGGAGGGTCTGAGTTTGGAGTATCCGGACGTTCCTTGGAGGTGGGTTCACTGGGGGTGTCTGGGACTGGGGGGCCGTTGCCCCCCTCTGGAGGTGCTTGGGTTGCCTCGGGGGGGGGTGAACTACTGGCGGTTGTGAGTGGGGCACCTTGCAGGTCTTGGCGGTTGCCATGGGTTACTGCCCGGCGGCTGCATTGCCCCTGGGCGGGTCTGGGTGGGGCCTGGGGGCTCGGGTGTGGGGGTGGCTGGCCCCCTGGTGGGTTCTGGGCGCGGCCTTGGGGGTCGGATCCTGACATGTGCGCTGCCGGGGAGAAGGCAGGAACATGCAGCAGTGCCTGACTCGGGTTCAGGGGCCTCGGGTAGACCTTGGCTCCTCTGCTGTCCCATCACAGGGGAGGGGGAAGTCCAGGAGGGGGAGGACCCAACCTTACCTGGATGTCCTATGTGTTTAATAGTCCCTAAGTTGTTCAAATGCAGGGATAGGCGTGGATATTCTGCTGGGGTGGGGCTGGGTTGGCGCCCTCGGACTCCATAAGGCTCTGCGATGCTGCTGCTTTGGGCCCTGGCAGGATGGGCTGGAGTCTCCATGCTCTGGGTGGTATTTTGACAACAGAGGTGCCTACTGGGGCCAGTAGGGGAGCTGGCTTCCCCCATCCCCACACATTTCTCTCCTCCTGCTCCCTCACATCATCAATCAAACATGCACATAGGACCTTGGGGGTGGACAAGTCAGGGAGTGCGGGTATGGACCTAGGGCTGCTCGATTATGGCAAAAATAATAATCACGATTATTGTGACTGAAATTGAGATATTGATTATTTAGGACGATTTTTCAATTTATGTTGATTTTATTTGTTTTTATTCAGTCATAAAATTGCTCAGGGCACAATCAGGACAAAAAGAAATAAGAAACAAGATGATCACTAAATAACTGCTGATTCCCAGTATAAAAAGACCAATATACTTATAGCTCATAGTCTATGACCCAAGGGCTATAGACCTTGGTTTAACTCATTTAAGTCTATAACAAATACATGCAAATAAATTGATGTTTGCAAAATGTTGCATAACATTTATTTAGTCGTGTCAAGGTACTATAGAAGAGTGCACTAGCACCGTGTCCTCGGAGAGATTAGTTATTATTTATCAGCGTGAGGAACTTATTTCTATCTATTTCTACCTTATTTATAAACTATTTATTTACAAGTCCATCAGTTAATGTAATAATTGTCCCAACCACAGCTGCACCCCCCACCCCGGTCTCACAGCAATCAGGGGCAAGCTGCATGTGTGTTTAGCGCACCGCACGCGCACATTTAGCCGTTTTAGTGGCTCAGGAGCCTACAGTTACGGTGTGTGTCACACTCACTCTGGTTAATCCAACAGGGAGCCGGCTCTGAGAGCAGTTTCTGTAGCGACCGACACATCACTACATCATTCCCTTTCCTAATGTCCTGAAGAACGGTCCGGAGCGCAGGCAGAGTTTTTAGCTAACCTGCAGGAAATGTCGACGACAGTTATCCAGAAAGTAGCTAAGGGTTACCAGAGATGTTTCTGAAGTGTTCGCCAGGTATTTTTGAGATTTAAAAGTCAAGAAGGGGGTCTGAAAAGCCGTTAGAAATAATGTCAAAGTCACTAAGTTGGCAACACTGTGGGAGGAGCACTTCCTTTGCAACTCAGGGCAAGTGGGAGGAGCAAATAATCGGCTTGTTTTGATTTTATAATCGTTCAAAACTTGGACCGTAATGGGGATTAAAATTCGATTAATTGAGCAGCCCTATATGGACCCCATTTCTGCATTCCTGTGGCAACTGCCCCCCAATTTATCTGCACCTTAAACACTTCCACCAATGACATTCCACGCAAACACACACTTAGGGCCTTGGGAGTGAGCACATCTAACGGTATTTGGCAGGGGGATTTCTCAGCCTCATCCCAAGTGCCGGTGCCCACTCCCAATTTTAAACTGCACTTAGACACCGAGGGCTGTGGGTGCAAGTGGGGTGGTCTGGTGGCATCAGCTGGCATAGGCCAGATGATGCCCACACTGCCCGCTCACCACAGCCATGGAATACACCTCATCAACAGTCCCCGGGGCTCTTCTTAGCTTCTTGGGTTTGCCAAGTTAGCTAGTAGCTATATTGGTTTCAACCCTGTTCCAAAATGTTACAGCCCCGCCCTCAGTTTCACCTTTTTCCCATTTTTTAGATTGTCTGGACGTGACTCGGTCATAAAATCAGTGGTGAGAACCTCCTATTTTTTGCTTCAACGTGTCCCCCCCCCCCCCCCCCCCACACACACACACACACCAGCAGAACAATGGGCAGGATATGTCTAGTTCCTGAAAATGGTGCACCAGTGGTTATCTCCTATACAAGTACAACTTAGAAGGCATTCATTCCCACTAGAGTCCATTGCAAATGTATTGAGTGTTCAACACCTTTAATACTTTCAGAGTGGGACAGTGATGTGGAATCTTTCCTGCTGCTACTGCATATCTTGCAGCCTCAACCTGCTAAAGAAAACACAGAAGAGTGTTTCTCAGACCATGGACCGTGTGTTGTGAAAAGGTAAATGCTGGACAACCAAATGTGATTTTTGAGGTACATGGGATGAAGAAAACTAATTAAAAATTGCTGTATTTGGTTTGGGTTAGCAATGGGGACAGAGCTGCTCGTTTGATTTTTGGAAGAGGAAGACATGAAGGAAGGATCCTGGAGGAGGGACTGGACTACTGCTCCTCCATGATGTCGTAGTGAAAGGGCTGTCCACTTCCCACAGGAGGAACAGCACCACCTCCGTGCTCCAGCATGAGTCTCTCTCACCTTTTTTGTCTTGGGGAGAAATAAGAGGATGAGCTGAGGTGAGACAGCAGTTTTAACCAGAAGTCTGAAACACACAAGCACAGATCTACCAGATCTCACCCCTGAGGCTGCGTTCTCTGTTTCACTTTAAAGGGCTAAAACTCCATCTGAGTCATCAGCTTCTCGCAATTCGGCACCACCTGTTGACAACCACATAGTTGGTTTAGACGACAAACCAGCAGGACCTGCTGATCCCAACCACGTGTGGCCATGAGGTGCAGATTGCTAATCTGACTGAAAATGTCCTCTATTGCATGACTGACGTAGGGCAACATTGCGGCACTTGAATCGGTCCTAGAAGATAAAGTTGGGGACGTGTTGTTAATGGACAGATGTTCACAAGAGCCTCTAAAAATTATTCAAACAACTGGACAGGTGTTCTTATTTGCTGCCTTGAATCGCCCCTTGGGTTGCCACTTCCGGTGTCTGCAAGGATAGTTGACTCGGGCTACCGACACTTCTAGTTCATCTGTCTGTAAACAAGTTTTTATGAAGTTGAGAAAGGTAAGAAATGAGTCAGCATCTATTCACTTTTGATTGTTACCCACAATATATGAAATGACTGTTACTGTCACTTACTTTCCCCTTTGTTAACTACTGCCTGAACCAGCT